CATGTAATAAAACGCAAAATATATTAATCATTACATGTTGACTCAAAATGTTAAGAAAAACGTTGATCTACTATTTTTATTATCTAAATGTCAAAGTGTCAGATTTACTGTAGTTTATATGGTATTCAAATACAGTTGCATATGTATATTTCTTTGTCTTGCAGGGTGCAGTTGAAGTTAGTTGATCTATTTGATAGTTTTATATCAGGAGATGTGTTGCCAGGCATCTTTATCAGATGAACATGTATATGAAGTTTTCGTTTTCTCTAGCCAAACATATTCTCCATAAATGTACGTATCTGCCCTCTACACATCAGTTGAAATAGCAACAGCAACAGCTGCAGCTAGCAATGGTGAATGTTGTGCGGGTGTTGAAATGGAGGGGGGAATTCGTGTAGAAGTGTGGCAAAGGATTCACATGCTTTGAATAGCCGGATCTGATAGTGACGTTGTTCATACCTCCCCCCCCCCCACGGTCTATAAGGGTCAGGTTGTTGAAACAGTGAAATTCCAGTACCATGAAAATGAACCTGTTGTTGTTGAGGCTGATGATGTATCGTGATCGACGTTGCCCACAACACCAGTAATGAAATCTCCGGTTCTTCAACTGTTTGGAACAACTATTTGGGTTTCATACACCATCATTCCAAATGTAAAGTGGGAGTCGTTGTCTCCTGAATTCGGTCACGGCATACTGGTAGGTGATGGTTTTCAGCGTTGGTGTTTGATGCTGCTTTGCCAAATGAGCTGTGGTGTGGTCAGAGCTTTAGATCACGCCAAAGTGGTAGTCTGTTATATTTGAACCTTCTAAGAACATGTGTACTAATGCCAAAATCATTGCCGGAACAGATGTTTCCTAGCAGCTTGTATGGATGAACCTCCAAATGTAAATAATTGTTTAAATACGTATCTACGTACTATTTTAGCTGCTTGTGCTAAACGCATAGAATAACTTTTATTACTCTTGTCAAAATCCTCTGGTAGAATTCTCTCTACATCTGCATCATGGATCACTAGAACATCTTTGGCTTTGTGTTAGGAGCTTCTCCTTCAGTCAAGTTCACTGAATTCTTTCTCCTTGGCGATTTCCGAGCTGTCCTGATCACAACTTATACGTTTTCATCAAATCACTTTAATAGTGGAGTACTCATTTTGTTAAGTTCTTCTTCAACGTACATTACAATTTCAGCAAATGCAATGCTGTTAAACATATCTTTCCTCTGATCTTCGGATGGATGGTGACTCTCCTTGAGTTTGGCACGGTTATTTAATTACACCAAGCACTTTAAATGATATTTCATTTCACTGGCAATCATATTGCCTATACTAAATTTAGCTAAAAGACTGGTATCACCAACTCGGTTGGCAGCTGATCTGACCTTACTGTCAAATTTAAGGGTACTTGTTTGATGTAGTTCTTCGAGTTTCCTCCTTCTGAGTTTAAATACTATGATACCTAATTAATTTGTTTTTTTTCCACGCTTTTAAATCATTTTAATTATAAGATTTTCACTTTTAAGGACGATTTAGTTTGTTGTTGTTGTTGTTGTAGTTATCTTGTGCCATTTTGGTTTTTGATTTGTCAGTGTTGTGACAAGTGATCAAATTTAAAGTTTGGTAACTCTTCGATCTTATGAAATTTGATCAACTCATCTAAAACAGTGTTGTAACGTGTCCCAAGATCTTTACGTTTTGATTCAGCTGGACATATTAGTTTTTCCATTTGTGGATCCCCGGCAGAAAATGCACATTGGCCTGTCTGTTATGTCAACCACATTTGAAGTGCTTCTGTATTTGTGCATATGAACATCATGCAAACATGTGGCTTCCATTGTAATGCCTGATATATATATATATATATATATATATATAAACTATCAAACGGACGTGCTAGCTTCAGCTGCACCCAGAAACATAGAATAAACATCTCTTTTGCTGTTTTGTCCCCCGGTGGAACAGTGGCTTTGCTCTAAAACAAACAAACAAAATTTGCTGTCTTTCTGTCTGAAGCTTACACATTATATTACTGTATTCGAATGTCATATAAACTAAAAGCAAATCTATCACTTTGACATTTAAATAATACAGATAATAGGTTCACATTTTTGTTAACATTTTGAACCCTAATGTGAACAGATTAGTAGATTTTTCTTGCACAGGTTATTACATTTTATGACAATTTGTAACTTTGATCAACAAAAAAAGTGGAAAAGGCAAGGTTAGTGGCAAAATGACCAATACAGAATTTTTTTTTAAGTGTTAATGTTGTACATCATATGACTCCACGGGTATCAATGCAGTTTTAATATTCTTTACAAGGATCTAGAACTGTAACCTAGAAAACTAGAGGCCAAAATGCACATGAAACTGATAATATTATGCAGTGATTTTTGTTCCTTTTTGTCACTCAATTGCTTGCCAATTTATGAAATCACTAGCTATTGCTTTACTGATTGCTGTATGATAATCCTCACATTCATGCAAATATTGTGAACTATCATGAGCCTTAATTGGCTAATTATAAATGAAACTATGATTGTAAACCCTTCAACTGGTAAATTACTTGCTCACACCGGCCACCAGGAGGCGGTACAAATCGCCAGGGAGTGCCGATGACTTAGCCACTATAACAGAAAACGTTCGTCACCTAAAGTTGTATAAGTATGCAAAGTTACACATTTGTATATAAAATTGCACAATCTTGCCAATTTGTTGTGCTTATCGGCTGGACTACATTGCTAACTTGTCTCTTTATCACGCCTAAGGCAGTCAGAAATGTAGCATGAATTTGTCGACCCTTGTTCTTCATTAGGTTACAGAGGGTTGAAAAACACGTGTGTGAAGGTCAGATCTGTTTAAGATTCACAGCACTTGTACTTTGGGTAGTGTTGCAGCGTGGCGTTGTCGGGATTAAATTGATCTACCGTGTTGTGATTGGCCAAGGTAACCGTGAAATCTTGCCAACTCTTTAAAGGTGAAAGTGAAACAAAAAAAAAGTTTTAACTCTCACTATGTAGACCAATTATGAATACCTGTGCTGTCTTAACGTCGTCACATTATTCTTCTATAATACAGGTGTTTTGCGCATGCCTCAATGTATAGATGAGATGGTTGTAGAGAATCCGGTTGCATGCATACATGAAAATGAAAATTCAACATAAAACTTGTGTTTTTATTGTCATAATATTCTCATGCTCATGTTTAATGATTAAAATTGGGTAGTTTTGTTATCTTTTAATTCACATATTTCGCTAATTTCGAGGATGAAAATTATATGAGTTACGTAATTCAAATCAATGAGTTCTATGTTTTTCATCCTTTTGTTTTCTAAGATGAAAGACAAACAAGCTGACGACGCTTAAATTCGTAGTCACACCACCTTTTAGTGACGTCATAGGTGAAGTTTTATCCATACCAGTCATAAATTAACGAGCAAAAATCATCCATTCTTGTTTGTTTGTTTTTGAATTTCGCGCAAAGCTACACGAGAGCTATCTGCGCTAGCCGTCCCTAAATTAGCAGTGTAAAACTAGAGGCAAGGCAGCTAGTCATCACCACCCACCGCCCACTCTTGGGCTACTCTTTTACCAACGAATAGTGGGATTAACCGTCACATTATAACGCCCCCGCGGCTGAAAGGGCGAGCATGTTTGATGTGACGGGGATTCGAACCCGCGACCCGCAGATTGCGAGTCGAGCGCCCTAACCACCTGGCCATGTCGGGCCACCATTCTTGTAAACATATGAATGTTTTTCACCAGAAGCTCATTTATTTAACTTTTGCATGAAACTGAAATTTATATACATGGTAGCCCAAAAGTAGGTATACAGTTGATAATAAATAATGTATTCAAAATAATTAAATTGAAATTAAAGTTTACAGTTGATAACTGATCATTTATTTAACGGCACTTAACACATGACATGGAATGATGGGAAAGTTAATCCCGCAGGTGTTCAAACTGAAACTCGTTGCTGTTCGCACAATCCTGGAGTCTGCCTGCCACACTTCTGCAAACTTTCTGACACGAGTCTGTCTGTCCATCAAGTTCTGTAAATGCGTCTGTGATGGACCCTTTCATTTCGTAAACATTCCGTGATTTCCTTCTTACACTTTGACCTTGAGTAATCTCCAGAAGAAAAAAGTACAACTGTATACCTCCTTTTGGGCCACTCTGCATATACTTAAACGAAATATGCGTCCATATACAACTGTGTACCTCCTTTTGGGCCACTCTGCATATACTTAAACGAAATATGCGTCCATATACAACTGTGTACCTCCTTTTGGGCCACCCTGCATATACTTAAACGAAATATACTTCTTTTCTTGATCCTAAAGTTGATCTAAGGAGGTTAAAAGTTGTTTTATTCTATAGAAATAAGAATGAAATAATTGTCATATTGTTTTATTTAAGCCTGATATAATTATAGGTGTACTTCCGAATAAAGGTTTAACATATGAGATACATTCTCTCGATATATTTTGAGTTGAGCAACTGGAGAAACCTAAAACTAGGACGAAATATTGTCAGCAAAGGCTAGACATCTTGAGATTAAGGTAATAAAAGTAGCACCAATGGCTAGACATCTTGAGATTAAGGTAATAAAAGTAGCACCAATGGCTAGACATCTTGAGATTAAGGTTATAAAAGTAGCACCAATGGCTAGACATCTTGAGATTAACGTAATAAAACTAACACTCCATATTAGGTACCTTAAATATATAAAATATCTATATGATGTTCTTTGATTATTGGAAACGTGTGGATATTTCATTTCTACCGTGGGCAGCCCATCTCGGTATTTTACACCTGAAACAGATAATAAACGAGATGTTGTTTATGGGGATCTATTTTGTTACATTCTGTATGTCATTTTGATGTAAAAAATATATATAGTTTCAATCAAGAGAGTAGTTTGTTAAGGTATCATTATTTACACACTGTACTGTTCAAAGGTGAAATTTCTAAATGTGGGTGGTTTCATCTTCTCTGCAGCTCTCCTGTCTGTATGGTGTGAAGACCTTGGTCGATTGTTGCTTGTGCGACATCAGAAGACAAGAGAAGTCGACGGTTTACCTGGCATGCATCAGCCCCTTCAAAAGACTCTTCCTCCTGGAGTTCAAAGGTAAAGTTGAAGTTTGTTTTCTTTTGTTTTTTACCATAAACCACCACTTTGTTGTTTCTATTTCAAGGTATAACAGACAGACGTGTAGTCGAAATATACACCTATCAAAATAATTTGTACCTCTTTTCTAGTAGTGGCATTAGGTACGCGGGTAAGATTTATAAATACCTCAGGGAAATGAACCCCCCTACCTTGCATAGTTCCAGGTCGCCCTTGGGAATAGTGTAGCACCTGTCATCCTCTCCCCTCCCCGTGCCAGGGCTACGTTAAAATGGTTGTAGAAGCAGGACAGTAGGTTATTTTGTTTGTCTGATGCCCAGTACAACTTGGACAATGGAAAAGGAAACCAGCTCTAGTTAGATGAGCATTGTAACACTGCATAAGGCAATGGCAAGCCACTGCAGTATCTTTGCCAAGAGTAATAATGGTCACTAGAGTACATACTGAAGGCGAAATGAGCAGAACGAGACAAAGGTTCAAATGCACGACTAACATCTATAGGCTACCAGAGATCGAAGTGGATAAAGGGGCATAATCGTCAACGTCTGTATCAGACAAGGCATATAGCTAGCAATCACAATGGTTAGGGGTCTGTTGATTTAGTTCATTCAAAATACTCATGTTTGAATATCCCATATGGAATGCAAACTGTATGCGTCGTGGGGAAAGATATCTTTAGGTAATAGACCTTGTAGATTAAGGAATTTTCCTCTTACGAACTCTTAAAAATTTACAAAGGTTGACAAATATATTTTCCTTTATACAAAGGCAAACATCATTATCTTATTTTGTAGATATTTATTTTTAAACTTAAAAATGTAATATTCTACTCACGTCTACATTAGGGAATTCTTCTTATCAAAATGTAATTTTTCATTTTATCGCGAAAATTTAAATTTTGGCGAGAAAAAGATAACTGAAATACCATACACTTAAATTCTAGTATGGTTTATGGTTAGCATGAAACCTGAAATAGAAAAAGAAATATTTGAATTTTTGTTTCATTGCGGATTAGCTTTAAAGTTATCATATATACTTACGTTTTTTAATACAGTTTTTGCAACAAAAAGCTTAATAGCAAAACCATTACCTTCACAGCACGTAGAACAGTATTATAAACGTTTTAGTGTTCATTTTCCTGCTTTAGCCAGTTCGCTGTTTACTGGCAAGCTCATCAAGGTCTTTTGCTAGAAATGTGAGAACGTAAAACGTGTGTTTGCATAGACATTACCTTAGCAAAAATCCATCGCTCAAGATTCTGTTTCCAAGAAAGAGGATGGATACAGCTAAAATATTGCTCATGTCAAAACTTTCAACACTCTCGTGAATAAAGAAAGTGATGGCACTGTTTGATTTGTCACGTGGGTTCTACAGAGCAAACAGGAAGAAACAAGTGCATGGGTTTTTTTACGGCTTTTTGACGTCTACAGTAATTCCATAAGCATACGCCATTTTAAACACCGGTAAAGATGCATTATCATTCACATTTTTTAAGAGCATAGTTATCGTGCCAACTCGAAAAAAAATATTGAAAAGCAGTTCAGAGCAACGTTAAAGATATTTTTATGTTACGTAAAAATCGGGATCTTCACAATTTATTGTCACAGAAAGATATGTGTTTATGGATTTGTTAAAGGTTATTAACTAACTAGAATAATTATTGTACTAACTAAAGCAGTTTTTCTTCTTGGTGAATTTGGCACTTTATAAGTAAAAAAAAAAAAAGTGCACGTGATTTGCGAGATGTTTTTTTTTTTGAAATTCCCAGAATATTGCTGTAACTTTACGGAGATATCTAATATAGAATTGTATATTACAATTTGTTTCTTTTTAGAAACCGCCCAAACATTTCAACACTGATATAGCATGGCGTAGAGTAAAAACAGAAATGCAAATCGTATGAAACTTTTCAAACTTATTAGTGGACAGAGAATTAAATGCTTGCATGTATGTCGTTAAATACGTAACAGAACCGTTGTGCAGTATTTATTTCGTTCCCAGTAACTCGGCGATAAGTCTACGGACTTTTAACGCTTATTTAATATAATTCCACAGTTGTGGTTTGTGCAGGTAAGTGAAACCCAGAATAATCAAAATGGGATAAAATTTTCGGGTTGTGATTACCTAACCAGTGATACAATAATCCAACTCTAATACTTGTATATACTTTCGTGGTAGGTTGTTTTGACTCTTCCTAGATATATATCTATTTTGTCTAGTTAAAAAGTTTAGAATGTGTGTAGTTATTTATGTTACTCTTTGATGCTGTCATCTAGTGTCCAAAATGGTAACTATACTGACTAGTGTTGTTGTTTTTTGCCATTTTTGTTAAAAAGAACAACAAACAAACTTACAAACGAATTGTTATTCTTACATATACACACACATATATAACATCCTTAAAATGGTTTGTTTAACGTTTTGAGAGCGCACCTATTGTTTAAAAGTACCAAACCGTGAATACACACACAAAGCCTCAGTATTTCTGCCGACAAAATAATAATAAAGGTGGGTGGTAATTAGGTAATGGGGACAGTGTGCCACGAGACAAACGTGCCAGCCTAAGTTAGCATCTTTTTGAAAAGTAAAGTTATGTATTTCCAGATTACTCTCTTTCAAGTAGGGTTTATGGTGAAAAAGTAAAATGATATATGTTGTATCAAGGTAGTAACTTCCATTTTTCTGTTGTCAAAATTTTATTAATTAAAATGTAAAGCTCTGCGAAGACAGTAAGTTACTAAGGAGCCATATATTTATTACAAACTTGCTTTTGTATACTATTAAGTCTATCAACAAAATGTAACGATGAGTTACAAATGAGTTATTTTAGGTTCATTAAAATATTTCACGAAACTTCTAAGTATATTATATGTGTGTACACGTGTATTTCAAAGCCGTGGTTTTTAATTTTCAAATGGAAAAAAAAAGAAACTTCTAAGCATATTATATGTGTGTACACGTGTATTTCAAAGCCGTGGTTTTTAATTTTCAAATGGAAAAAAAAGAAACTTCTAAGCATATTATATGTGTGTACACGTGTATTTCAAAGCCGTGGTTTTTAATTTTCAAATGAAAAAAAGAAATTTCTAAGTATAGTATATGTGTGTACATGTGTATTTCAAAGCCGTGGTTTTTAATTTTCAAATGAAAAACAAATGCGAACTCTTCAG